TTTTTTTTTTAAGTAAATGTGGGTCTCCAGCTCATGACCCTAAGATCAAGAGTCCCCCATCTACCAAACTGAGCCAGGTGCCCCTCTCCACCCCCACTACTAACTCAATTTTGAGTAAGATTTCCTTTATTCATTTTCACAATAGCAATATTCTGTTTTTTGAACTTGGAGGTATTTATACAAATATTTGCTTTATAATTACTCATTACCCTGGTATATATGTCTTATTCTTCTGTCTGTATATTGCAGAACAGATTTTTTAAGTCAAAATCTTAGAAGCCAGGATAGATATGAATGGCATAAAGAATGCCCTCATACCTATTTTCTTAAAATATGGTCTAAACAAGGGGTACATTTTAGCAGTATTTAGGACAACAACAGTGACTGCAATTTCAAAAAAGATTTAGAATAGGATGAACGAAATATATCCGAGATTAAAGTGGACTGACTTTCCGGGACCAGTAACAGTGGACTAGGGAGTGTGGTGGTGACCTGTTGGCTCATCTCCCACTTCGCTGGTTCCCTACCTAACCAAACACTGTAAAATACCTTTCACTCTCTCTGCAGTGTTTTATTCCTTTCCCAATCAGCCAAGAACATGGTTAAATCCCCTTTATTTAGCCTTAATAGTTCTCATTTTCATTTTTAAAAACTGTGAAAAAAAATTTTATTTTTGTTTGTTCTACTTCAAGATGATTTACTGGAACTGGAGATGCTCCTTTTGGGGTGAAACTGGGATTACTATCAAGGAGGTATTAAGTATTTAAGTCGCTGCCTTCTCTTTTTCCCTTTGCCATGAATCTTAAAGTATATACTGGGGGCGGGGGGGGGAGGACACAAGCCCAAACTTGAATAACTTGAACTATTACGCGGGAGGGTTTTGTTCCTTTACATAGCTTCTGCATCTAATCTCAACAGCGTGTACTTCAAATCAATGGAAGGGTCCTGCTACTCTCACTCCTCTAACTTGGTACAAAGTGAGGGACCTTGGCCTGGCAGCCGAGCAACACTCTGGAGCAGCTACCACTTCCGCCTCTCTGCCCCTCGGCCCCGCCCAGCCCGCGCCCAAACACACTTCCGGCCCGCCCCTAGCCGGCTCGCGTTCTCTCGAGGCTTGTGGCGTCCCGCCCACCTCCCGGGGCCGCCGGAGCTCTCTCCCGAGTGACAGCAAGGGGCGCGAACCGCACCTTCCGCCCCCCACGAAAGCAGTCACATTTAGCAGCCCAAAGCCAGCACCAGGAACCCCGATTTAAATTCGAGTTTCAGATGAGCATGAATCGACTCCTAATATAAGATACTAATTGTAGTGCAAAATTCGCTAATTATATTTATTATTCGTTGTTACTGAAATTGGAATTTAACTGAAGTGCAAATCCAAGTGAAACTGTATCATGGGGCAACCCCACTTGGGATCGCCAAGGCCAGAAGCCAGCTACCCGGATACCTTGCGGCTCGGTATTCCACTTAGGGCGCCCTCTGTACACCAGCCTTCCTATAACACCCCTTTGTGGGTGCCTGGGGGGAGGTACGGCAGGGCACCGCTGTAAGACGGTTTACTAACAAGTATGTATTTTTTAAAATAACTATATTTAACCCTTTTTTCATCATTAGCAACAAATTTGTTTTTAATTTGGAACTCAAAGATGCAGCACGAGAGGACAGAGTCTGCGCAGTGAGGATCACTGCCCACCCTGGGGGGTCTCCATCCTCGTGGTCTCAAGCGCCTTTGGGCACCGCGCCAGCTTGTACACCTTCCCATCTAGAAGTCAGGGGCCTCCACCTGAGCTGCCCCACGTGCTGCGCCCCGGAAGAGACTCCTGGGGCCCGGCCCAGGCTTCTAAAGTCACAGGGTCTCACGCTGATTCTGGACTGTTCATTGCGTAAGCCCTGGGCCAGGCCATGAACGTGAGCTCCAGTATGAAGTTCCGTCAGTGAACAGATAGCCAGTACTGGAAACGCGTCCTATAGAGGGCAAGTCATCTGTTGGGTTGAAGTAAAGAATTCTCTGTTGAATAGTAAAACCAGTGACTCAAACAGAATTTGCCCAAGTCCCAAGGGTGGTATAGGCTGTCCTTAGGAATTGGTGATGAGAAGACTGATGAGGGTTTTATCAGTCTCTGGAGGAACTACATTGGTTTATGGAATTGTGGTCTGGTCTGCTTTGGGTTTTGCTCTTGCAGTCCCCACAAGGACAGTGCAAAATCAAAGAAAAATAGTGGCAGTCATTTTAGTTAAATTTGACTTAGCAATTTCCTTGGGGAATAAGATCTCAGAGGTTCAAGTGTAGTCAAAGTTGAAAGAGAAGAGTCTTATTTTCCCCCAAATGCTCTCAAAGCTAAGACTCTAGGTGATTTCCCTGCATTGTCCTTGACCCACTGAGCACAGCCATTCCTTCCCTACCTCAATGCCGAGACAACAGAGAGCTTGAGTGGACAGGTCAGACGGCTGAGATCACAATGTGAAATCAGACCTTCTCACTCTCGTACCCAAACTCTTCACTGGTTTCCCATCACACTTGGAATAAAATCCTACAAGGCCCTGCAGCCCTCGGCTGCATCTCCAACCTCATGTACTCCTTTTCCACTCACTAAATTCTGGCCACCCTGGTGTCCCTCCTCCACGGACACACCAGGCCCACTTCCACGTCTGTGCTTTCACACAGGCTGTCCTCTCTGATCTGACTGTTCCTCCCCCCACGTATATGCTTGGCCCAGTCCTTTACTTCAGACAGGTCTTGGTTCACATGTCATCTCACAGGGCAGCCTTCTATAACTGCCCACTTAGAGCAGCTGTCCCTACTGCCACCCTGCCCATGTGCCCAAGCCATTCCTCCTTCCAGACCCTCACCATGCTGTTTTCCTCCATAGCGCTCATGGCTACCTGACAGGACATTGAACATTTGCTTGTTTACTGGGTCATTGTCTTTCTCCCCATCTGAATAAAACACAAGCTCTGTGAGGGTAGCCTTTTTTATTTGCCACCGTAACCCTAGTGTCTGGAACACAAAAACTGAGACTAATACGGGGTCTGTCAGCACCTTGTGATGTCACACAGATGATTTCCTGTGGGACTGATGCAGAAACTGCAGAAACTTGACATCTCATTTCTTGGATCACCCTCCTCTTCCCAATCTCTACACGATGGAGCATCACAGGACTGAGCCCAGGGACCTCTTTGTTCTCTAGATCAGCTTCATTCTCTAGACCAGGGCTTGCTGCTGGGAGAGACCCAGGAGCACCTCAGGGGAAAGGGATGATAAGGGACTTCCAGAAGGGGCCAGACCGCTTTTGACACAGGACTTGGAAAGCACTGAGCTGAAGATGGAGTGGACTTGCTTTCCTGGAATCTATCCAACACTCCCCAGGTTCCAGGCAACTGGATACATCAGAGAAAAAAGAAATTACAGTCTGAAATGGCTGGATTTATAGTTCCCGGTGCATTCGATCAGTTGTAACCACCAGTGCAGAAGCCTGGCTGGGAAAAGAATGACACTCCGATCTCTGGGCCACAGACAAGACAGGGCTAGCAGATGGCCTGCAGATTTGGCAGGGTCTTATACTAGAGCTAACGGCACTAGTCATTAGCAACTTTCTGGGCAAAAACTGGATAATGGGTGAGGGCAGGGCTCGAAAGTGGTTTAGTTTCACCAAGCCAGCTCTCCCCATGGAAGGATGGGGAGGAAAGACAAACCACTGAGTAGACAAAGAAAACTGCAGCCCCCTCTCATTTATTTATTTATTTATTTATTTATTTATTTATTTATTTTGGAAGTAAATCCCATAAAGTTGCCAAGAACACTAAAATAACAAATACTGAACCATGACTCCCCAGGGAAATGCAGACTTAGTTCCTGCCAGCCTCTAGCAACAACATTTTGGGCAGCTGAGCAATCCATGACCTTGCATTGTTTCTGTTTAAAGACACCTTATGTAGTAAGTAATGTTCGTGTATGAACTTGCAGGCAGCAACACTAGAACTCGCGCCTGAATGAAGCTTACCGAGCGCACGGTCTCTCCAGAAGGTACATCCCAGCCTCCTCACCATTAGGCACACTAGACCGAACACTAGGCTTTGGGGCCACTTGAAACAAAGAGATCACCAACAAAAACCACGAAAATCTGACAAACGTGGCACAAATAGACCATGAAGAGAACACTTGTTTTCAGCACAGGAACTGAAATGAGAAGGCCGAGTGCTGTGTTGTCCAAGCTCATCTGCGCCTGTCCCAAGTTTTCCGACGCGGCCCCCTCCCAGCGGCAGAGCCAGGGCCCAGCCAGTGTTCAGAAAGAGCGATAGCAAGTGTCCCTAACCCTGTTGGGAGGAGAATGGCCTTTGGGTTAGAAGCCGGGACAGCTTGGGAGCTGTGAGATCCAGTTGTACAGAGATCAGCAGAGAGCCCAGAACAGGGACTCGGGGAGCAGTGAGGGCCCACCGTGGCCATGCCCTTCTTTGCATCTCTCCTCCCCAGTCTTGGACACAGCAGCCCAGTGGATAAGGACTTCCAAGCGTTAAAACAGAAAGAGCTCCTGCAACCCCTCTCTGCCGCTTCCAGTTGGCGAACGGGAGAATTAGGTGCAAACAAGTCAGCTGCAAGAGAAAGAGAGCGGGGGACAACAGTCGACAAGACCACTGCCCCGAGCAACTCCTCAGTCTCACTTTTATTAGATAGAAACAATAACCCACAGAAGAGCCGATGAAGGTCAAACATCAGTCACATGTCTTGTGGACAAACAAGGAGGGTAAGTTTATAGTCAACCAAGCCCATTCAAAGGACTCATCTAACTAACAACAGGCGCTTTGGGGAGGAGGAAGGAGCTACAACGGAAAAGGGAAGCAGGCGGTGTTCCGTTCTGCCCTGAGCGGGCCAGGCGTTCCCAGCTGCTCGGCTTCCAGGAAGCGGGCGGCGTTCCGCCCTGATTGAGCTGGGCATCCCCAGCTGCCCAACTTCATGGTCGTATATCGTCCTTTTCCCCAAATACCTGTTGCCAGTATGTGTTTTTCTTAAGGCCGTATCTAAATGTGCTTGGTAACTAGTAAAATCCTCCAGGGGTTATAGTTTAAGTAATACATTGTTCTGAGGGGCAGTTGCATCTCTCCATCATTTCCAGAGGCTTCTGAGGTAAAGAATGTATTCCGGGTTACAGGCAAGTTATCTGCTGATCCAATCCCGAGTCCGGAGCTTTCCCTTGGTCATATTTTATTGGATGAAACCATGCATTCCGTGTCTTTGGAAATTCCCCGTGGAGGAGGCTAGCGCTCGCTAGTCCACTGAACTGGAAGCCAGATTCAACTGACCTTTGTCTTTGAGGCAAAGATCTGGTCCACTGGCCCAGGTCATGTACACAAAGGCGGGTTCCAGCCCTTGTTCTTTAAAGTAGGAAACCTCGTGTCCTGCTGCAGACCTGTCAGAGCCTCCCAGAGATCCTGAGGTACGCAGCTGTCCACACAGCATACCATGAATCAGAACATGGAGCTATGGAAGCAAGTGTTCCAGGAATTAATCCAGGAAGTGAAGCCATGGCACAAATGGACCCTGACAGAAGACAAAGACCTTCTTCCCAACAGCCTGGAGCCGGGCTGGTCACAGTACCAGCAGTGGGCCTTTGCCAGGTGAGTGGGGAATGGGATGGTACGTATTCCAGAAAATTCTTATTTTTTCATTACGGTGTATCCTTGCTCCTTTTCCTGTTCTGTCCCGTGCTTGTACATTGAAGACTACAGGAAGTACAGGGCCCATCATCCAGAAGTTTTAGCTTTATTTCAGCGAATCCCAAACAGTAGCAGGACTGGGCACCCAGGATGTTGGCTGCATCGGGGTGGAGGGAGGAGCTGCAGGACAGCTGGGTGGGCAAAGTTCCCTACCTATGCTCCCTGTCTCCTGGGGACCTGGGGCTGTCTATGGAGCCCAGGAGGGAGAGGCCCCGCTTGCTGAGGAGGCCCTTCCAGGAGAGGGCAGAGGTTAGCGTAGCTGAGCAATATGCAGAAACCTTGCCCGCTCTTCTCTGGGCTGATGGATCCTTTTAAACCAAGACTCTTGGGGGCGTCTGGGTGGCTCAGCCGTTAGTTAGGCGTCTGCCTTCGCCTCAGATCCTGATCCCAGAGTCCTGGGATCCAGCCATGCATCGGGCTCCCTGCTCAGTGGGAACCTGCTTCTCCCTCTCCCTTGGCTTGTGCACTCTCTCTCTCTGAAATGAATAAATAAAATCCTAAAACAAACAAACAAACAAAAAAAAAGTAATCCAAGATGCTTGGAACTCATTCAAAGCCTTACCCTGTTTTCTCCAGGTGAGGAAGCAGAGTTCCAAGGGTCAGGGGGTGGGGCTGCCCCTGCAAAGAGGGTAGGGGCCTGAGACTTGGTGTCTGCCCATTGCCCTCCTCTCTGGGGGAGGTCTGGGCAGAGGAAGCAGAGCTCTCCTCTCCTTGTGGCCCACGGCTTTCCCAGGCCAGGAGCTGGCACCAGGAACATCCAAGCAAAATCTCAGCCCCACCCCCACCCCCTACCCTGCTTTTTTTGGAGAACTTTGAACTCTGAGCTGGCACATGAACAGAGCAATACGACCCAGAGAGGGAGGGTTGGGGACAGCAGCTCAGGAGAGCAGAGCCCCGCTGTGCACAACCAACTCCAAATAACCCCAATAACATCATCTCTCTCGTGGTGGTCAGAGCCTCTTGTCCTCTTCCTTTCATTTCATAGCCATGCTCACCCTGTGAGGTGTGGCCGGAATCAAGACAGAAGAAGGAAATCTTGACTGGCACATTCTTCCCAGCTCCCTCCAATTCACTCTCCCATGATAGGTGAGGCTTGGCTGCTAGAATAGATGAACCTTGAAATATCAGTGTTTTTGACCTAACACACTGTCCCCAGGTCGTTGAGGCAGAGGAAGAGGAGCTGGAGGGTTTTCCAAGAGCTTCCGTACCAGATTTGGAAGTAACACATGTCATGGCCTGCATCCCATTGGGCAACCAGTCACACTGCCCAGCCTAACTGTGAGGGGGTTGGGAAGCGGGCGGGAGTGCATGGATAATTTAGTGAGCAGGAATTGTCCCTGCCATTCTGCAATTTCTGCCTCTCCCGTGATTCCTGTCCTCAGTGCAGCCATGTCCTTGTGTGCCTTCTTCCCCTCTCTCCATCTATCCTGTATTTGTCCAAATATCTGAGCTCAGGAAATCACCTTCTGCTCTGCAGAGAAGGGAAGGTGTGAGGCCAGGTGCACACAGAATATGAGGTTTTCCAGGCTACCTTGAGCAATGAACTGGGTGGGAGGGGGAGCAAGAAGAGAGAGCTGGACACTGTGATCTCCCTGTCATACTGACAGATTGGGGGGGGCCTGGGCAACAGGGCAAAGTAATGCTTTTCCTCCTGACAGTAGACCCTCCTTGATCTGTGGGTCTACGACTTACTGTCTTAGTCTCTTTGTGGGGGGGGGGGGGGGCGGGTAATAAAACATAAAGTAAATTAAGATAAACACCAGACTAAACACAACAGACACAACAGAAATGTATTGCTCACAGTTCTAGAGGCTGGAAGTCCAAGATCAGGGTGCCATCTGGTCCGGTGAGAGCCCTCTTCCGGTTTATGGACGGACTTCTCCTGTATCCTCACATGGTGGCAGGAGCTAGGGAGCTCTATGGGGTCTGTGTGATATGGGCACTAATCACAATCACATGGGCTCCATCCTCATGACCTAATCACCTCCCAAAGGCCTTCTAACATCATCACCTTTGGGGCTTCAGGTTCCGACCTGTGAATTTGCGGGGAGACACCAACTTTCAGATAGTAGCACCTACCAGCACCCACTTGGGCCATCTGTGGATTTCAGTTCAGAGCTCTTGGGGGCTGGTTTAATAGCTACTGTTGCACTCATAGCCTCTGACCCACTTCAGTCCACATTTGAAGAAGCCTTGGTTTGGGTTCAGGATCCCAGAGGTCTGATCCTGCTTCTTACACCCACCAAGTCTCTGCACATGATGGGTTCCAGCATACACCTCATCTCTAGCCCCATCATGTCAGATTTAGAAGGTCCCTTCCAGCACCAAGAGCTTGTGGTCTGCTATTTTCATGACAGATACCTGTGGATCCCAGGGCATGTTGGTGGCACAGTGGAGATAGGAACAAGGGGCTTGCTAACGTCTTCCCCACCAACCTCGACCCCAGTTGAGTCATGTCTCTGTTGTCGGGCGCCCCTTCCTCCCTCTGGCCCAGCCCACAGCTCTGCCATCCTGGGCCAAGCTGAGGGTCTTGTCTCCTGTCCCTACAGGTTCCAGTGCTCCTTGTGCTCTCGCAGTTGGGCCTCTTCTCAAGTTCAGGTTGTTTTCCACATGCACAAGACTGCGGGGAAACCCAGGGGCAATGTGAAGATGAGGGTCTTTGCCCAGAGATGTCAGAAGTGCCATCAGTCTCCATTTGAGGTTCCCGAGTTCACAAAAGAGAACATCTCCAGGATCCTGAACAACCTGGTATTCCGAATTCTGAAGAAATGCTACAGAGAAGGATTTAAGTCGATGGAGGAGATCCCTACCGTCAGGGAAATCACTCCTGAAGGGCCGCATGACAGTAACAACTGCGAGGCATGTCTGCAGGGCTTCTGTGCCCAGAGTGGCTTCAGTGAGGCCGTGCAGTCACCTGTGTCCCCATCACTTCCTGCCATAAGCTCACCTGCTCTTGGGACCACCATTCCCATGCCCTTTCCCAGTAGAAGTGGCACCACAGTGGACACAGTGAAGGGGAACATCACCGCGGACAGAGTGAGGGGGAACATCACCGCGGACGCAGTGAGGAGGAACATCACCGCGGACGCAGTGAAATGGGACATCATCACCGCGGACGCAGTGAGGGGGAACATCACAGCGGACAGAGTGAGGAGGAACATCACCGCGGACGCAGTGAAGAGGGACATCATCACCGCGGACCCAGTGAGGGGGAACTCCACAGTGGACATACAGAAGTGGAACGCCATGGCAAACAAAAGAAAGGCTTTACCCCAACCTTGGCATCCTGAGTCCAGGGAGGCTGCAATCTTCCCCACCCACTGGAGCCCGAGAGCAAACACCCAACACCATGTGGAGACGAGAATCCACGTCAGTACCCGTAACGAGGTGCTCTATCCCCACACAGCCCCGAATCCCAGGTGCAAGAACTTGAATGTTTGCTGCTGTTTTTTCATTCTGATTATTGTCGTGGTGATTATCGTAGAGACCATTCAGTGGACCTCCACATGATGCCAAGTTCAAAGTCATGTAGTATGATCCCACGGAAAGGAAATACCCAGAAGAGGTAAATCCAGAGACCGGAAGTAGCGTGGTGACTGCCAGGGGCTGTGGGGAAAGGGATTAATCTGTATGGGGCTTTTGGGGGACAGAAGGTGTGTGGTGATGAAAATGCACGAGACAGAGAGGGTCGTTGTACAACACAGTGAATGCAGTAAACACCACTGAATTGTTCATTTTAAATGGTTTATTTCATGTGATTTTTTTTAAGGGTTAATGTTAATTTCAATTCAATTCTGTCTTGCCTAAGGGATGCTGAAATTCTGCTCATTCTCTGGAGAACTGAGACCGAAGCCTTTACGGCTCACAGAACCATTTGGAAATCTCATGAGACCTGTGGATCCTCTCTCCCCGGAGAAGCTTGCACAGACCCGGGGAGGTCAGCAGGTGGAGGCACTTGCAGTGTTTTCACTGGGCTAAAAGCCTGGGTCTCAAAACAGTGTTCTCTGCAGCAGGGTCCACGCAGTTCAGGGCTGGGGCAGGACCCACATGGGGGAGACAGCCTTCAAACTCTGGTTCGTTTCTTTGGACTTTACTATTCCTTGTTGCATGGTTTATAACAAGTGTTATTGTACTAGTAGAATGGTATTGTGACACAATGTGTAATTAAATAAACATACACCATCTGGAAAGTCATCTCACTGACTTTTCACTGACTTTTTCATTTTCAGAATTGAAACTTTATCCTCATTAAACAACTCACATTTTCTCCCTCCCCCTTGTCCCTACTAATGCCCACTCTTCTTTCTCTATGAATAGGACTACCCTGAGGACCTCATAGCGGTGGACTCATATAATATTTGTCTTCTTGTCACTAGTTTATATCACTTAGCATAATGTCCTCAAGTTTCATTCATGTTTTAGCATGTGACGAGATTTCCTTCCTTTTGAAGGCTGAATAACATTCCATGATATTTATATATCATATTTTGTCTACCCACCTGTAGACATCTGGGAGGCTTCCAGCTCTTGGCCATTGTGACTAGCAGTGCTAGGAACATGGGTGTCAAAAGCTCTTTGAGACCCTGCTTTCAAAATACTCAGACCCGGAATTGTTGATTCTACTTTAAATTTTCGGAGGAACTGCCATGCTATTTTCCATAGCAATTGCATCATCTTACATTCCCACCAACAGGGACAAGGGTTCCAATTTCTCCATATCCTCACCAATTATTTTCTGGGATTTATTTTTTTTGTTTTGGTTTTGGTTTTTAATAATAACTACACCTAAGGATGTGAGGTGATATCTCACTGTATCTTCGATTTAGATTTCTAGAAAATGCAATATTCTATGATGCATGATACCTCTTTCGAGGCAATATCAAAAATAATATTTGTGCATCTCAGCATAGATGGAAGTATTGGGAACACAACAGAAATGTGTGGGTCAGTTCTTCACAGACTCACTATTCAATTTCAAATATTTGGGCACAGTCTACCTATTTAGCAAACTCCAGAAACTTAACATGTAATAGTAGACAAGACAGTTACAAACACATGCCTAAGGAACAAGCATGCCCAGCGCCCATACGGAGCTGGAAGCTGAGTGACCAGTGAGGTAGGGAGGAAATTCTGAGTCGTTAATATAAAAAGGGGTTCTTAGTGGAAGGCAAGTGATAAAATGTTAAAGATGGAATCAGCCTTAACAATCGTCTTCTGCTACTCTATATTTTACAGGTGGGTAAAAGGCGAAGTGATTTTCCCAAGATTATGTGGTGCGTTAGTAAAAGAGCTGGCCTTGCTATCCCGGCTGCCGGGGTCCCAGGGCTGATCAGCTTCAAGAACAGACTGGAATGTGCGTGCATGTATGCACGTTTACACAATAAAGACATGGCAGATACAGGAAGATGCAAAACATCTGCAGATATCCCCAGAAAGACTCTATAGTATTCAAAGATAGGCTGGGATGGGTGGAATGATTTGGAGTATATCAATAAGGAAAACAAACTAGAGAACAAACTTTAGATCATTAGGACATGAAGGGAAGCAGGTGTTGAACGATCTGTGAACTCACTGAAGACTAGCGCCAAGAACTTTAATTTTAGTTAAGAATTGGAAAGTTATTTAAAATTCCAAGAAGTGTTATTACATGATCAAAAGTTACTCTGATAACACATACTGCTACCGACAAGGAGGGTGGGAAAGGCTAGGCAACGTGCTGTCCCTATGAATCAGGACTCGGGAAATGAGAATTATGTAAACCTACACCTGCCACAACACAGCACCTCAGAGTATGCTTCCTTCCCACTCAGGAGTAGTGAGAGATTCAAGAGATGCATTGAGGCAGGAAGGAAGGGAGGCAAAGAAGGAAAGACAGTAACTGATTTCTGCAGCTTACTATTAGCCATCATCATTAAGTTACTCTAAACTGGTGTTTGGCAAGCACACTTCTTGGTCATTCTAGAAACCTCCAGTCAAGAAATGTGGTGTGGTTCTTGCTGGTGATTAAAATGCACTACTCAATGATTTCACCTAAATGTCTCTGCCCCTCAATGTCCGACGTCTGAAAAACGGGTGTAATAATAAGCTTTGGGGACCAGAACCTTTTTCTCCTAGGAATTACATTTTATCCTTTTATTCATATTGCTTTAATGCTCATACATATATCCCACTATGGAAATCCCTTTTCCAAATTATGAATCAGTCCCTATGTATCATGTAAAATTTTCAAATATCTATGATATTGCCACTAGGTCGCCTTATAATCTTGCTGCATTTTTACACATACATGAACAAATTAAATAGTATCTCTACACACATTATATTCAAATAATATATTGGGTATGGGATATTATGTGACATGAAATAATTATGTATCGGTGCAATACTTTTTCCTTTGTTTAGGAAGGAAATGTAGCACCAATACAGGGTTTTTGCACAAAAGACTGGTTTTATTGAAATAAATTTTACATAGGTCATGGACAACTTATGTGAAAGCCCTTATTTGCCCCTTTTTAAGATTCGTTTTCCACTTGGCTAAACATAATGCATACCTTGGCATGAAATGAAATTTCAAAATCATTTAAGTAATACAACTAATAAATTTCAACGCCATTTTTGAAGACTTAAAAGAAGAATACAATTGTTTGAGGTTCAGTTGCAGTGATTTCTCATTTTCCTACTCTTTTCATCTCTTAACCTACTTCTCAGAGTTTGTTTTTAACTTGAGGCAATCCTCTGCTGAAGCATTACCATATGGTTTTAGAATGCTCTGCTTGGTTTGCATCTGTTGAGGATAAAACACTGGGAATTATGATTAAATCTACCAAGACAAAATATGGAGGGTGTCAATAGTGACCCCTTTGGGGACAGATTGTTGTTCAGATAAAAGAAAAAAAAATCACCCTTCGTTTCTTCCCCAAAAACCCAACTGTCTGGACTTATGTGTCCAATATGGCACCCCCCTGTGGCAATCCAAATTTAAATTTAATTAAAAATCCTTAATTAATTAAAAGTTCTTCAGTTATATCAGTCATTATTCAAGTAGTCAAAAGGCATGTGTGTCTGGTGGTCACTACATTTGGACAGCGCAGATACAAAACATTTCCATCACTGCAGAAAATTCTACTGGATGGCACTGAATTAGACCATGTAGGAGTCAATTCATAGAGGAATAAACGTGAATATATGCACTTTTTCTTTCTTAATCACAGAAGCTGTTTGTTAAAACTTATCTTCAGCTTACAATCCTGTTTCCTCTAGCCTAAAACAGTGGTATAAAAATAAATATTTGTACAATTTCTCTCCAAATCAGATGATATGACATAGGAGTCCAAAGCCCTATCATGACTCCCATCTTTGCCAACAAAAAACAGTCTCATGAGCTCCCTGTGGGCTGCAGCATGATGGCCTGGGCAGAGTTCTCCTGTGGCATCTGTCAGGAAGCTTTGCTAGGGTGTCCTCACTGGTACAGACTAGTCATCCCTGCTACCTTGCACAGCCGCCTTGGAGGAGGGGTCCCTGAGGGTACTCCCTCTGCTCCCTGTTCTAAGGTGCGTCCTGAGACCCATGAAGTACTCACTCAGGACCATCTATGTAGATCATGTAAGTCTTCCCAGGACCAGCCAGGACCACAATGCCTCTGTGAGGACCACCAGCGCACCATCTGAGTGTCCTGTGCCCAATACATGAGCAGACAATCCAGCCCTTCTTTCTACCTTCAATGCCCAAATTATACCTAAAGTCTTTGCTAAGACCCTACACTTAGAAAATACAATTAAAACATATAAAATAGCAGTTTGTATTAGCCCAAGGGAAGCTTTTCTCAGCAAAAGAAATAATTCATTAAAACTCTTTCAAAATAAAATAAAATCTCATTTGGCTAGTCCCATATAAATGTTTTTTTTTACAACCCCTTTATCCCTGGATTCCTAAAAACAGTGCAATCAACTTCAGATTTTGGTCTCTAGGTTTTAATTTAAAAAAATAGCACATTTTCTAAAATATTAAACGTGCGTTATTTGGGAAAAAGTATATGTAAATGAACCTTCATATATAAAACCACTTATCAATTCTCCAGTCCACTGGAGAAGTATTCACAAATGTGAAATCTGAAAATCATTTTTCCTAACTAGGACTGTGATTTCTAGACTTTGTCCTTAAGCACAAACCATTATTCCAAGACACCAAGATTTATAGCTCGGCAGCACAGGGAGATTCTGCAGTCTTCTGGTGGATGGTATCAAAGCTGAAGGCTAAAAGATACTTTGGTGGTATAGCTGGGAACAGATTCTGCAACAAAAGAAACAAAGATACTCAACCATTCCCCATTTTACCACAAAGTGTAGCTTAGCTACAAACCATTGCTCATGTTAAGCAACAAATTACTATCCTTCCCAGGTTAAAGTATGGAGGTGAATGGATTTATCTATCACCATTAAGTCAGCTTTCACAAATGTTTAGTCATGCTTTAGAAATATTTAGATCTGGGGTACCTGGGCTCATCAGATCATGGTCCCAGGGTCCAGGGATCAAGCCCTGAGTCGGGCTCACTGCTCAGCGGGGAGCCTGCTTCTCCCTCTTGCTCTACTGTTCCCCCTACTTGTGCTATCCCACTCTCTCAATCAAGTAAATAAATAAAAACTTTTTTAAAAGTGGGGGGGGGCACCTGGGTGGCTCAGTGGGTTAAAGCCTCTGTCTTCAGCTCAGGTCATGATCCCAGGATCCAGGGATCGAGCCCCGCATCGGGCTCTCTGCTCGGCAGGGAGCCTGCTTCCCCCTCTCTCTCTCTGCCTGCCTCTCTGTCTACTTGTGATCTCTGTCTGTCAAATAAATAAAATCTTAAAAAAAAAATATTTAGATCTAAGATAGAATTATTAACCCTCATTCTTTTGCAATCTTTCCAACAAACTGACACAGCTACATCAGAATCTGAGAAACTATATAACCCTAAAAATAATAAAAATTGACTAAAACAGAAATAGATGGCCAAGGACCTGAGACAGCAGGTAAGACCCCAGGTGGAAGGGAAAAAGGTTTATAAGCAAAGTTTTCACTATTCCTAAACTAAGCATGATCTTAGTAAGTACCCTTTTACTCAGTCTTGCTCTTCCCACTGGTTACTGCCCACTCTCCCTTGATAGCCAAATTTTGTCAAAGGATGGTCTATACCAATGGCTCTCAAGGTGAGGCTCCCAGACCCAAGGCACCAACATCACCCAGGACCTTGTTAGAAATGCACATTCTTGGTCCTACCCCAGAGCTGCTGAGTCTCTCTGAGGGTGGGGCCTGCAAGTGATTCTTAGGGTCGCTAATGCTTGAGGACCAGCAAAGGGTTTCACTTGCTCACCATTCTTATATCACATGAGTTTGGAGGTCAGCGTAACTCACTAAAGCTACTTTTTTTCCCCTTAGCTACGGATTCTGGTTAAAACCAGCTGAGTATTGGCAATATCATATGAACCAATATGAATATATGGAAGACAGAATTACAATTATTTAGAAATAAGTGAATGAATTCAAAAGTTATTATTACTAAAGTTAACCTTACAAAGCAAATTATTTTATCACTGACCAACAGATCCAAAGCTAACTACCTATTTTCTCTAATTCTTTCTTGTATTTTTAAACAATAACTCAAAAATGTAATTATGAATAAATCTATAAAATACAACAATAAAGGTTTTCACAAGAGGAAACTTGTGCAACCCAAAAATAAATTTTGACAAAATAAATGGTTCTGCTATTTGTTTCATGTTTCATATAAATTTCTCGTTTATTTCACACTATTTCAGCTTTCAAGATTGGGGATAGCCAAATGGATTAGAGGTAACTGCAGAGAGATTTAATAATTTAGTTGAAAAAAATTTTTAATCTGTCAAATAAATGGTATTTTTCATTCCTCTCATGAAACCCCTGAATATCTGAATGTGACCAATCATCCTTAGTCTATGAATGGGCAGCCATACCCAGGAAGGAGGTGGTGATTAGAAGAACAAAGGGTGACTTATGCCTTCTTCCTGTGTTTGTGTGCTTGCAGCAGAAGGAAGGGCTTCTACCTTCTAGAACGCTTTGGAAACAGCCCCTGGGAAAATCGCTTCCCACCCTTTCCTGAGTCCTGTGACCTCCCTGTGCTCCTCTGTATTATCACCACCCTGTGGAAAACCAAAGCTAAAGGGATCTAGGTACTAGTCTGCCACCTTTTTTTCCTTCGGTGATTTTTCATACAAGCGGACCTTGATTTATGTAAGAAACACCTTTTTCTAAAGTTGAATTTAAATGGATTTTGAAATGGAATCTTATTTTCCCATTAACTGAGATACTCTTTTGTCAATGCCATTTTGTTAAAAACTCATGTATAGTTAGTAAGGCAACATCTCAAGTGTATGTTTCCAGGCCTCTCTGTCAAATAGTTGATGATGTATCAAGTATTCAAATACACTAGAAAAAATCTGATATTTAAAGAAAAAATTATGTGTGTATATATATATAATATAAATTTACATATAATATGTATATATATAATATAAACTTACATATAATATGTAATTATATTATATAGAAATGTAATTATATTATATTATAAATTATATAAATATATAATTTCTATAAATATATATGGTATGTGGAAAAATAACCAATTAACCAACTAACTTTTTAGCATTATGGGTTCATGTTGCTTGAGTACATGGAATTCCATATATTCATTTAAATGAATTTTTTTTTTAAGATCTTATGTATGTATGTATGTATGTATTTGAGAGAGAGAGAGCCAGGAGAGGGGCAGAGAGAGATAAGCAGACTCTGCACTGAGCATGGAGCCCAATTGCAGGGCTTGATATCAGAACCCCAAGGTCATGACCCTAAGATCTGAACAAAAATCAAAAGTTGGATGCTTAACCGACTGAGCCACCCAGACACCCCTAAAATAATTTTAAATATGATTAGCGTACCTCTTTCTTTAACATCTTCAAGATAGGCTTTCAAAAATTCTTTATCAAAGCATTGACGATCTCGTTCACTTTCCATCACTTCAACGCCATCTTGACACTGGGTATTATCAAGAGGATTGTCCATAAGGCTTACAAATCTATTCAAGAAAATACAAACAATATCACATTTTCACCTGTACATGTTTCACCACAGAATTCCTCTTAGAAGAAGTCAACCTCTTACTTATCCTTGAAGGTCACAGAGGACCACTTAATATTGACGTCACCAGTGGAACTGCCCCATGGAATAATCCAACAAGATTATGGAATCAGTCCTGCTCAGAGGCCTGCTGGAGGAATGAGAGTTACTTAGGCACAGACGGAGGACAGTGGCCCCGTCAGACACCTTGAGGTGGACATTAACACTTGCTCTCTGTCAGAACGTTCACACTGGATCATGTCCTACTATGGCTGGTGTTAATCCCAGTGAATGGTATCAGACTCTAAGAAGAGGTGGGGTTAAATTATAAAAAACTCAGATGGTCAGTATCCTTTCAACTGAAAAGATGGATACTCCTACCTAAAAAAGAAGCCCAAAGAGAGAAACTAAAATGACACTTGATCTCCTGTCCTCACAGTTTTGAAAGATGTTTTGTTGTGAAAGGCAGTGTAATTATCTCAATTCAAACTTGGAAATCCCTTGAACAGTCTCCAGCTGCAAGTGTGGGCCCTGCTGGCTTGGGTGGTATCATTCTCATTGGTTTGTGGAAGCTCTAGACATGTGGAAGATAAAGCCCATCTCTTCTATTTTTAGCACATATATTTCCCAGTTCATTTTCCTTGTAATTTTATTTAATGTTTAAATACAGAGAAAGCAAAAAAGTTCTGATGTCTTTGTGGATCAATCCATGCAACTTTTCCTTTGCAAGCTCTTTTTTTTTTTTTAATTTTATTTATTTATTTGAGAAAGAGAGAGACAGAGAAAGAGCATGAGTGATCAGGGGAGAGGGAGAGGGAGCCCCATGCAGGACTCGATCTCAGGACCTTGAGATTATGACCTGAGCCGAAGACGGCAGCTTAACCAACTCAGCCACCCAGGTGCCCCCTTTGCAAGTTCTTCATTGAGTTAATTTTTATCATCCGTCCCTATCCAAAAAAAAAAAAAAAAAGCCTATATTTCATCATTCTTAAATGTTTTATCAGAGTAATCATTCTACGTATTTTAAAATTTGCAAGGATACCATTTTATTTAAAACCACAGTCTCTCACTCACCCTCTGTGTCTCAGATCCTCCAGAAGCAATCTCTTTCATGGGTCAATCACTATTTCTACTTATCCTACTGGAACTCTCTTTTATGCAGGACTAATACTTCAATGTTGTTTAACCAAGCAGAGGTATTCCTTTCCTTCTCTTCCGTTCCCCAACCCTATCACCTCCCAATTTTTATGATCTATACTTTCACTTTTTCAACATTCCATTATGAAAATTTTCCAACATTTAGGAAAGTAAAAAAACAAAAAACAAAAAAACTGCTACAGTAAACACCCTTGTCCCCACCAACTAGGTTCCATATTTAAGATTTTACTGCAGTTGCTTTATGACATATCCATCCATTTATCCACCCCTCGATCTACTCATCAAGCCATCTTATTCTCTGATGCATTCAAAACACTCACAGACATCACGTACTTTCACTTTCACACCGTTAACACCAACACCATCCGCATTTTGTTCTGAAACTGTATTTAACGTTTCTATCTTGCCTGCAGGTTGATTCCAAAATTGAAAAATTCATGTCTTTGTGACAATTATCTGGAAAGAGTCAGTGATGCCTTCATGTTTGAGGCTGAGACCCCAGCATGTTGGCTGAGCACTCACACGTGCAAACTGTTTTTGCCCCTGCGCCAGCCCACCATGGGTGAGCACGGCGGCAAGCAGTTGCCAGTCCCCTGGGAAGTCTCCGAACACAAAACTCTGGGGTTTTCCCCCAGGGCCACCCTAGAGGACACCTCAGGATTTTTGGTCAGATGCTGAGTGGTCTGCGCAGTGGAACTGAGGAGGAGATTAAAAGGCAGGGGATCGTCTGTGTACATGAAATTGTCCTTTTGTTTTTTAGTATCCTGCCTCAATCTGCACCAGCCTGGACCTGGAATTTCTGACCACACGCTTCTTCAGAGTTCTCCAGGGCCAATGGGCTTAATTTCTTGATTTGGTATCTGAACATGAGCCTGCTCCATTCTATTTTTATCAATCACCACTGTTCTGTCTGCTGTATGTCTCCCTAAGTGTGTGGCATCTCTCATTTTGTGAAGGCCTTCCCTTGCTTTCTCCATCATGGGGGCTTATAGGTTTTATTTTTTTCCTCATCTCAATAGGATCTCAAGAGGGATAAGTGTAGATTGACACATGGTCAATCTACCATCATTAACATGGTTTCTTGTTCTTTTTATATTTAATCTCTGGCTTATTCTAGCTGTCTCCCTATATGACACACAGCAAAAATATGGCTATAGGCCATAAGCTTTCTGATGTTGTCAAGGGAAGAACGGGTTTTGTCTTTCCCTAATTATCCAACTTCCTTAAAGGTGTATTAAGTCACTCAGACCTTCCCCACTGGTTTATGAAAATCCCTGTATCACAGATTAGGATCATGTTCAGTACGATCCGCTTTGTTCTAATAATTCATCTACAAATCATTGCCTAGCACCACCTCATTTTGAGTCTTATACATTTAAACATATTGTCATTCTCAGTAAGGCAAATTCTGTCTTGTTACTCTTGTTTTCCAAAATTATTGTTGCTGTTCTTAACTTTTTGCCTTTCAGATATACTATCCAATCAGTTGTTCAAGCTCCAAAAAAAGAAATCCCACTGGAGTTATGGTTGGAATTACATTACACTGATGTATAATTTTTTGAAGAAATCACATCTTTAACGCCTTTTCATCCAGAAAAGACAAAGTATATCTTTCCAAATATTCAAGACCTCTTTGACCTCCTTGCATCCAAAAGACATTCCTAGGACAGCCAAGAGCAGAGGAAGACCCATTCCAGTGGAAGGAATACGGTGGGCCAGTGGGGAAAAGATGTCATATCCCTGTTCATCTTGTGCTTACACAGGAATGAATTTAGTCTCTCTCTTTGCAATAGTTCACTTCTCTATTTCTGTCTGCTATGCATCTTACTGCCAGGATCAGAAGATGAGGAAGAGTTATGATGAGGTGAGCACTTATCACTGAAAGAATGGGACATTTCTGGAAAATCACCCCTTGAGTCATGGTTTTAGCAAACACCTGGTGTTTAAGGCAGATGAGTCCCTGGGCACAGGACGGAGGGGGCTCTCACTGGAGCAGCATCATGTCAAAGTGGCCTGGAGTCAGCTTCAGGGGAGGGAGGGTGCTATGGCTTTTCAAGTCCCCTTCCAAGGTAAGAAAGACTGTTCAATGTTTCAGGCCAGATTAGAAGCTGTATCACATTTGCTGGGATGGTTTTTCTTAGTTTGGGGTGGTTTACAGGTTTCTTTAAGGAAACCAAAAAAGGGTAAGACAACCAGGGAGCCCTGGGCATGTGCTTTGTCACACTTCAAACAGCAGTAGCATTTGTCCAGAAATCCTCTGAGATCTACTTCCTCGTGCCATTGGCCAAAAACTTCAAAATCCTGTACAAAGGCATCGGAACTTCTGTGAACCAGGATCAGGTCATCTGAGTCCAAGAACCATCCTATCTGGTTCCTGAGACAGGTGAGCGCCCAGGCTGCAGGTCCTCCTTACCTTGTGTGTGAAAGTCTCTAGGGGAGATCTACTCACTTTAAAGGTGTGGATGAGTCACACAGGGCAGTCGGGAGCTCCACCAAATGGTCCCCACTGACGACTAGCAAGGTGAGCTTCTTTAGGTTAAGCAAGGCATAAGGAAGATAGGTCAGCTTGTTCTTATACAAGAGAAAGGTCTGCAGTTCTTCTAGCCTAAGAAGAAGTAAAGGGGATAAGGGGATTAGACTTATAAGGATTAACCTCATAGCAGGGGAGAAAAAAAAAAAACAAAGTAAATGGCAAATAAATTCTGGTATGAAATCCCTACATAGTTTATTTTATATATGTGACCCTTACAAGGATAAGCGGACTTTAGAATTTAAATAAAGTCAGGCAAGGTGATGCAATTTGGGATTTTTTAAGTTTTCCCTGGCTTAATTACCAAACAAAGACAAATACAGCAGCAGGATAACAAACTGCACATTATACACTAGTCTGGGAAAGGACCTGACCCTCAGTACATCTCTCCAAGTGTCTGACCTGACCCTCAGTACATCTCTCCAAGGGGTCAGCAAAGGATGGGAAAGGAACTATACTGGAACTGGGGCCAAGAATGAACAGATCTGGGACACATATTTCCTGGTATATATCTTGAAAGCCCAATATTCCTTCCCTATCATATTTTCTAAATTTAAAATGGAAAGAAATCTGTCAAATGAAAAGGAAATGAGCAAAATGTGCTCTGGATTTGTTTTATTTGTTTTCCATTTTATTCTAACTCGGTGACTGCCCCCTGCCCCGACCCAGTTTTTTTCTTGCATGCATTTCCAAAATTTTGACTGAGCCTACAAATATTTCACAGAGTTTGCCTCGTGTTTCAAACTAAAACAATTCCCACTTAGTCTCACAAAACTGGAAAGCACTGATATACATCACACGTACCAGGAGTAGAAAAAGGTCATGTAAGTGACCTTGGGAACGAAGTCAGTTTTGGCTTCTGGGTCATGACAACTTACTTATTATGCACTATCTTTATAAAGGAGACTCTGGATCCCAAAAGGTCAGATATTTTGTTTCACTATTTTAAAATCTGGGCCTGCCATACAGGAGCCTAGTATCATTGGTGGAATGAATGAATGAATGAATGAATGAAATGAGTGAATGAATGGATCTTACATGCTCAGTGTAATTTTTTTTTTTTAAGTAAGCTCTATGCTCATTGTGGGGCTTGAACTCACCACCCCACGATCAGGAGTCTCATGCCCTACTGACTGAGCCAGCCAGAGAGCCCAGTCCAATTATTTGGATACAAGGATATGATTGGAAAAACTTTACTAATCATATCGATTTGCTTGAAAGATCATGTGTGATAAATCAATAAATGAAACCAATAAAAATTACCCTCACTGACATTCTAAACAGAGTTTAGAAATGTTCCTCTTCCATATATAACATATATATAAAGACAAAGAGTGATATGTTTCTATTCCATATATAATAAAGATACTTTGCTATGTCTACGGGGTAAGGTTAATGATGTCATTCTGTTGAGGACTCAAGGAAATTAAAAGTTCACCAAGACAACAGAGATGTGTTCAAATGCACATACATACACACACACACACTTATGAGGCTGGAAACTGGAAACTGTCTCATCATCTAAAGAACGAAACTCATTTCCCAGAAACAACAAACTCTTGGAGAATACATTGATTTCAAAGACCACTCATGTGTTATGCCTGTTTAAAACGTTAAAACGGTGGTTAAGGCGTTAGTAACTAATTCATATACCTCACCTTCAGAATGCAAGTAGCTACCTGTCTATATCTTGGGGCAGATCATTCAGGATATTGTTGCTGATATCCAACCACTGCAAATTACACATCCTCAGGACACAGATCGGGACACTGGCAAACTTGTTTGCTGAGATATCTACAAATGTAACTTGCTTCAAGTTACTTAACTAGAAAGGAATAACAACATATTCTAATTACTTTTGTAAGTGCAGGTAGGTTCAACTAATAATTTTCAGGTGATATTTCTTCCCAAAGGCCCTTCTAAGAATATACACAACACAGATCAGGAGAATATGTATTTTGGAGCGCTGACGACGTCCTCCATGACGGGCAGCACACAGGGGCTGCCTACCAGGAATTCACACTTCTGAAAATAAGCAATGCCATCTAATGTAGCAAGAACTAACGTGAAGAAGTTTTCAACTGGGTGCATTCAGCAGCACAGACATAAGGGGCTAATGTCCCAATGTCACAGTAGGGTAAGGGAAGGGGTCAGGAAAGATCTCACGGAGAATGGAGTTTTTACACTGGATCCTGAGGTTTCCCCAACAGGGGAAAAGATAGAGAAGGGAACTCCAGGTAGGGAGCAGCATGTACAAAGTCACAAAAAACAAAAAGCACAAGCCTTAAAAAATAGAATGACTTCAAGATGGCCACAAGGAGTTTTGGCAGATCTTTTTTTTTTTTTTTTAAGATTTTATTTATTTATTTGACAGAGAGAGACACGGCGAGAGAGGGAACACAAGCAGGGGGAGTAGGAGAGGGAGAAGCAGGCTTCCCGCTGAGCAGGGAGCCCCATGTGGGCAGACGCCCAACAGACTGAGCCACCCAGGCACCCTGGAGTTTTGGCAAATCTTAAAAAGATTCACATTTGAGCTCATGCAAGGATGGAGCAAGCAATCAGAAATCTCTACTCTTTAGGTCTCTTCTCCATAATTTGTGTTTTAATGTGGTAACTGGATACATAGGGACATATATTTTTTTTATTTCAAATGCAAATCTACAAATATTGAATGAAGTAGGAAATGTGTCTCATGTTTGGATTTGTTTTTGTAAGTTGGGTCATGGCCATGACATATAGAAGGAGCTACCTTTTACTGACTTATTTTCAGAGTCCATAGATAACACTGCCCTTCAGAACACATTTTCAAAACTGTTATGCAATATGCAATATGCAGTTGAACCAACAGAAGGAATGAATGAAATATACAAAAGAAAGAAGCAGTATGCTTATACCTCTCTTTATCTTAATATAATACCTAATTCCCTATTGTTACATTTGCTTTAGTGACTCACAGGTCAAACTCACCCCTTTGAATGGGCACATTCTAATTTTGCTCTTGTTTTGAATTTCTAAAAATGAATGTGAACACAGTAATGGGACAGTAAATAAGCATCAGAAAAAATGTTTGGGGTGCCCATAATTCAGTCTAAAGTCTCTGACCGTGTTGCCAGTGTTCTCAGATCAGCAGAAAAATCAAGACTGAATTAACATCAGTCTCTTGTCTTCCTCCTTTTTACAATAAATGTAGAAGGTACATTTTTTTAAGCTGTAAAAAAATAAGTTCTTTTCCTTTTTTTTTTCTTTTTAGATTTATTTATTTGACACAGAGAGAGACAACGCAAAAGCAAGGGGAGCAGCAGACATAGGGAGAGAGAGAAGCAGGCTCCTTGCTGAGCAGAGAGCCCAAAGTGAGGCTCGATCCCAGGGTTCAGGGATCATGACATGAGCCGAAGGCAGATGCTTAACCGACTGAGCCACCCAGGAGCCCCAAGTTCTTTCCTTTAAATATCCTCAATAAGTTAAGACTTCTGTGAAAATTAGAATAAGGAAAATCACAGTGGCATCAAACTAGCAAGGAGACAAATGCCTGGATATAGTAATTCCCCACTAGCTACTTTCATCAAGGGCAAAACAAAACACTCATAAATTCTTTGGAAAGGTAGTTATAGTCTACGACCATACCACCCTGAATGCGCCCGATATTGTCTGATCTTGGAAGCTAAGCAGGGTCGGGCCTGGTTAGTACTTGGATGGAAATTTGTCTGAAAATTCCAGTGCTGTCCAGATAAAAATCTGACATTCAGTCAGAATAAATACAACACTCATTTACACAGAAGTTTCATTAACTTTACCTTTGTCTCAAAATTCCTGCTAGTTCCCTCCACAGGTCATTCATTCTATTTGCGGGTCTGTTTGAACTTGAATTCAGGATTGTGTCAATTATTTGTGTGAAAGGCAACTCATGAAGACAGGCACAATCATGCGAATACATAGAACCCTACTGAACGGTACACTTAAAAATGGTCACAGTGGTAAATGTAGCATTATGTTTTTAACAAAAAAAAAAAAAAATGTTTTAATGCCAGCATTTGGATATGGCATCCAGGCAAATGGTGCTTTCCTGAGTCTGTAGAGACCAGAACCTTGGGTGCTGTGTGTTTCCTTTGGATACATACAAGTTGGACACATAAGGCTGAGACAACCTGTCTTCAGCTACATAGTTTCTATTTATCTTGAATAAACCCTAGTTTGGACAGGTGGCTGAACTTTATGTCCAATGAGAACCATTCAGTCTGGAAATAGTGAAGTTATATATAAAGAGAGTCAGTGAGCTATTATAACAGAGCCAACTGGGGAAGTATAACAAGTACAGTGCATTTACAGAATCCCATTCAAAGCAAAGAGCCTAAAAATCTCTATCCCGGGTACATTTGCTCCCACCTATGTCAATATAGGGGAGTTACCATGACATTGCTGTTTGCCAGGAAAAAAACAAACCCAACTTGTGGTGGCCTAGGGCTGCCTAATCCACCAACTCATGCAGATTAACTGCAAACAGGAGAGACAGAATTTTGAGAGAATGATAGAAATATGCCAAATGTGAATTATGGTGAATTGTACACTTATGGCTGAATCTGGGCATCTATAAATTATATCTCAATAAAGAGAAGGGAAAAGAGAAGGGACAGAGAGGCAAGCCTAGGAGGCTGCCATTCCGGTTCAGATGGCGGACAGCATAGGCTTGGACCAGGGTGTCAGCGGCAAGGTGCTGAGCGGTGGTCAGACACAGAACTTATTCTGAAGGACACGTTCAACAGGACTTACCTACAGAGTGGAATCAGGGTATAGGAGCAAGAGAGGTCAAGATGACTTGCCTTGCTTCCAGCCTGGACAACTGAGAGAAGACTGTGCCAATTTCTAAACTGGGGAGGCCTGGGGGCACCTGGGTGGTTCAGTGGGTTAAGCATCCGCCTTTGGATCAGGTCATGATCCTGGGGTCCCGAGATCGAGCCCCACCTCAGGCTCCCTGCTCAGCGGAGAGCCTGCTTCTCCCTCTCCCTCTGCCCGCCGCTCCCCCTGCTTTGGCATGCTCTCTCTCTTTCTCTCTCTGTCAAATAAATAAATAAAAATTGTAAAAATAATTACGTAAATAAACAAACAAACTTGGGAGGCCTGGGGAATGAGCAGTCTCAAGGAGGGTGTCACGCCCCTGGGCGGAAGCCCTCACCTGGACTGTTGGGCATTTCCTGGGGCGATGGTGGAAGCAGCCACTTCCACCCGCCAAGAAGTTTCCAGGCAAAGAGAGTAACACCCCATCTGGGACTCTAATCAGCAGCCAGGGCCTTGTCAGCACCACACCAGCAACATTGTTTCCAGTCTGTTCCTTACCAGCAGGATTATGAGATCTCTATCTCCCTTTAGCATAAGAAGCCTGTTGAGTTTTGTTTGGCAACACTCTTCCCTCTCAGCGGCTCCATTTCATCAGAATGGGATTCTGAATCATTTCTCCAGTGAATACAGACCAAAAGTCACTAACGAATGTTGTTTAAATGAATGGACCTTTAAAATCCTATCTGTTAAGACTGTTTTGGTTACCTACAAGTTTTTGTGAATATATTAACTTCTTTTAAAAATTTTACCCCCTTTATTTCCAACTGTTTCCAATTTATTTTACCACTGTGGATAAATAAATCCAGATCTGCATCACAGACAACAGGCATCAGACATTAAATAGACATTAAATAAAAATATCTCGTATGAAAACAGGACATTTTGCCTAGTTTTGTTTGTTTCTTTTTGACAGCTTTTCCGAACTTAAATTCAGCTCCTGGCCTAGTGTAAGAACATTTTGAAAGACCTTCTAGTCACTGGTATAAGGTGACTGAAATGTCAAGAAAGCATGATATAAGAAAGACGGACTTTTACCTTGTGAACTGCCTTCCCCACATCATCCCATGTCATAAACCAAATACAAGTAAATTATAGTGCAAAAATGACTGCTTTCTTACTTCAAAGGGGAGCTCGGTTAATTCTAGGTTTCCAGAACAATCCAGTTTTTCTAGATTTTCACAGTCCCCCAATTCTGGAGGGATGCTTCTCAGAAGATTGAAGCTCACATTGAGTTCTTTCAGGTTCTTCAAGCGACCTGTCATCAGAACAAATGAACACCCAACGGGAAGATCCTTTAAGGTCTTTTAACAACAAACACAAGACAAAGATAAAACATTTGTATAATGACGATGGGGGAGACATGGAACATAATTTTGTATTTGTTTTTTAAGCCCTTGATTAAATGTCAGCTTGTCAGACCATGATCACAGCATTTTGTGCTTACTCTCCAGTTAATCCTTCATGGAACTATAGGCAGCCCCCATCTTTTGCCCCTCACACCCCAAGAGAAAGAGAAGCAGTAATGATCACTATAGTCTTCATTTTAAGGTACTGCAGCTGAACAGAAATGTGATGGAGAATTATAAAATGTTGATCAAAATGACATAATAGGCTACGCTAAACTTATATGGGAATAATTGGTTGTCATTTATGTTTGCAATGAACATGTATTGCATACGTAACTTTCTAAAACTTAAAGAAAATAAACAAAAAGTTCCTAACCGTGGCATTGCTCACTCATGAGACTTCTAGTTTCTGAGCCGTCGGCAAATGTCTGCCTGTGCCGAGTCCTGCAGGTAGGATGGTGGTATCACCCCAAGGGGACCTTGCAAAAGAACTAGCAGCTCTGGGAACAAAGGAAACAGCCCTGCCCAGCAGTGTCCTGGGCCACAAGGGAAAGGAAGCTCCACGCAGCCTGCCCACCAGCTGCCTGCTTGCCAGATGAGAGCACGGAGGCTCCTGCTGGTGAACATACCAATTTCAGCCGGAAGACAGGAGATTTGGTTTTTTGGCAGATCCAGAATTCTCATTGCTTGAAACAGCTCAATGTAGGTAGGAATGATTTGAATCAGGGTATTAGTGATATGCCATTCTTGTAGGTGTGTCTGCTCCTTCAGTGAATCCGGGAGCTCCTGAGACAGAATGAATGACATCAGTCACAACCAGTTCTTCATGGTGTCAGAGCCGAGTGGTGGCGTGCGCAAAGTCAAGTATAACCGGGCATTTGCAAGAAAGGCAAGAGGCAAGACAGCATGGGTGAGAGCATCAGACCTAACCTTAGCCGGCTGCACAGCCCCTCCATGAAACCACTTTAAGACTCTGGGGTTGTCATGAATCTCACAACAGTGGACTGGCCAATTTCAAAAGTGCCATGAATTCCTGATATGAAAATCAAATGCCCAGTGAACACAGATAACCAGGCTCACACCTATAGCCGCGACATGTACTATTGGTTTACAACACACTGATTTAACACCTTCTGAAAACAAAATCTGTCCATGCATTGGATTTTAAAATGTGTGCTGTTTCCCTCCCTAGTTGCTTGATAAAGATCTAATCGTTGCTGTGCCAAGTTTCTCACTGTTTTTCTGAGTCTCTCATAGGAAAGAACACCAGAAAGAGAGCGAGGAGACATGAATGCTGGGCCAGGTTCTGCCTTTTTCCAGGCGCACCACCTCCCTGGTCATTTGTGAAGTGACAGAGGAACTCAGCAGAATCCAAGGCTGCCCTGGGCTCAAGGGTTCTGGGATATGATTGCAAAGGTGCTGAGAAGTGCTTATGGATGTAGGTTGTCCAGGCAGGCTGGGTAACCCTTGTGGGGTAAGTGCTTAGACAAAGGCCATGTTTGACAATGACACATGAGACTGATTTACCAGCGGTATTTAATTAGAACTGCAGAAGGGCACCCACTGATTTCAACGACAGAGATGCAGGAGAAAAAGACTAGAGGTTGTATAGTAATAAACTCTCCCAGTTTCAGAGGGCAGTGCAGCCTACATGTCGGTGTCCTAGAATACTGGCTCATTCAGGACCCACAACGGCCCTCAGAGGGAGCTAAGGCAGGCCTTAGCCCCATTTTACTGAGGAGGAGAGAAAATATATGAAAGTGGAGTAAAGTGTCTCCAGATCACATGACCAATAAAGGACACCCACCACGATCCCCTCCCCAAATTCAGTCTCCCAGCCCAGAGTCCTTTCAGCCGTAAGTCAGGGGCATAAAAAGAGATGAAGGGCAGGTTCCAGAGAACCCTGTCCCCAGAAAGAGACCATCGTTACCAGTTTGCTTGCCCATAGCACACTCAGGTGCTGCTTCCACCAGAAAACGTCAGATCACCTGCAAGCCCAGGAGATACTGCCCCAAGCAAAGCAGCAGGTCAGGGCACAGGGAGCAGGAAGCCACCTGTAAGCCCCAGAGGAAAGAAAGGGGGTGGGGGCGGCTACATCTTTGTCCTGGCCTCAGACTCTCAGAAGGAAAAACAGCTAAATCTGTCACCACCTACCAGGGGATGTTACCTGAAAGGCTCAGTTCATTTAAAAAAAAAAAAAAAAAAAAAAAGGCAAAGAGTGGTTTTAAAGGTCTTGGGGGAGAGACTGCAGGAGTAATCATTTTAAAGGCTGTGCCATCCTGGGGAGGGCCGCCAGGATCCCAGCACCTGCCGACCTCCGAGGGACCCCGCTGTCCTCCCCAGGACTGCAGGGTCTTGCACGGAGGAAGAGACCTAAGAACCCAGTTTAGAGCAGGCAACTGGCTCCTCCCCATCCATGGGAAAGCTCTCTTTCGGCCAAGGCCAAGGCCAGTCAATGCCTCCAGCAGAATCCAGCAGCGCCTTGGGGCACCCCCTTGCTGCACTCACCGTCCACTGCTCCCCCGAAAGCTCAAACACAAACGGACTCCTCCGTTTGTCTCTCTCCTTGGAAAGTGAACTCTGCCTCGCGAAAGTGTTCCTTTCGATCTTTTCCAAAAGCCTCGCGCTGGTGTCTACGAAGCCATTCTTGCAGTACGCAGCCTGGGGGATGCCTTTCCTCCTGCACTCGGCCACGAAGTTCCACTCCTCCTTTATCCTAAATGGATAGCAAAGGCCGAAGTCAAGCTCCTGGGGAACCGCCCCCACCTGCATGGAGTTGCCGGCCGACCACCTGTGCGCAGACGCAGCCCCTCCCCAGGCCGGCGATTTCCCCAATTTCCCCGCAGTGGCAGCGGCTGGAGACTCAGGGACCCCGCCATGGAACCAAGTCTCAGCTTTGCCCCCTGCACTCTTTCCTGGGTCCCTCTGCTGTGGGAATGTAAGCGGCATCTTAAACCCTCAGAGTTGTTAATTATCAGCAACTTTGACTAAAAAAAGTAGAGAAGGTGAGTGGGATGGAATTCCTAAAATTTCTACCAAAGTTACCTATGTATTTGATTAATTACAATTTCCTTTGATTTTATGTGGTGCTAGCCCAAGTTGTTTTGTTTTAAGATTTTATTTATTTATTTGACAGAAACACAGCGAGACAGGGAACACAGGCAGGGGGAGTGGAAGAGGGAAAATCAGGCTCCCCGTGGAGCAGGGAGTCCGATGCTGGGATCCCAGGACCCTGAGATCATGACCTGAGCTGGAGGCAGATACTTAAGGACTGAGCCACCCAGGCGCCCCACTTTTGTTTTTTAAATGCCTGGCCACAGGAAGATGCTAATATTTCAAGGGTGTCTGATTTGAAATGTATAGGCAGCCCCAGTTTATATCATACCCTAAAAATGATCTTTACAACTCTGCAGAGACTAAAGTGAACTTGCAGAAAACTGATAGCAACACAAATAATTCTTGACTACAGACACACAAATCAGTTCTGTCCGGTGGAGGGACAACCCTCCCCCACCTCTGAGGACAGATTGTTCCGTTTGCAAGTTTATTTCAATTTTCCTGATACCTAAACGTGTCTGTCCTTTGGATTCTCCTCTGAACTGGCTGTAACACCTCCCTCCTTGTCCTCGTGTTCATAATGAGAAAAACTGAATTTTTAACTCGCATTCCCTTTGTTATCTGCACGTTTTCTGAGGGTTAACCTTTAACACAGGTTGGACACCCTGTGAGAAGTCGGGCAGTGGTGCGGTTGAGGTGGGAGAAAGCCCAAACCTCTTTCCCTCATCCCTTGTTGGGTTGGGACCCACAGGGCTCAGAGAGCTGTGATCACCTTCTCCTTTATGTAGCTTCAACTGCTTTCAGTCCTGCCTGGTTTTTGTTTCACACCCCCAACTCCCCCCAACCCATGCCCCAGAACCCATGACCCCCTGTAATGTTCAATTCTTAGGGAATGAGTAAGTAGGGAAACCAGAGGGGCAAAGCTGCTAGGACAGCGTGCAGAGGGCGTGGAGCTAGCTAGAGACCCCTGATTCAGAGCCAGGCCCACACTGCTAAAGGAATCATAGGTGCTGAAACACTCTAGTAAGTGTTTATAGACAGTCTTTCCACCAGTCGAAAGTTAAGAGTTTTAGCAAAGCTTGGTAGCAACACTAGAATGTGGTCAGTGTCAGTAATTCCTCAGGAGAGCTGCAATGAAGGGGTGGGTGGCTGGTCACACAGCCGGACCCTGCCAGTCACAAACCCTTTAGATCCCAACGGATTTTGTAAAGATCATATGTATACTGTATGATCCAAACATTCCACTCCTAGGTATTTCTAGAAGACAGGGGAAAGCATATATCCATACAAAGACATGGGCATATGTTCATATCAGCTTTATAGCCCAAACCTGGAAACAACCCAAATGCACCTTCACAGGTGAATGGATGGACACACTGTAGCTTATTCACACCATGGAACACTACTCGGCGATAAAAAGAAATGAACTCTTGATACAAACTACCGCATGAGTGAATCTCAAGGTCATCGGGCTGAACGAAAGAATCCAGGTAATCAATCAACCAATCAATCAATAAAAGAATCCAGGAAAAAAAAAGTATTCCATTTATATAAAATGACTTGTAAGACTCTAATAAATGAGGGGCGCCTGGGTTGCTCAGTGGGTTAAAGCCTCTGCCTTCAGCTTGGGTCATGATCTCAGGGTCGTCCTGGGATCGAGCCCAGAATCGGCCTCTCTGCTCAGCAGGGAGCCTGCTTCCTCCTCTCTCTCTGCCTGCCTCTCCGCCTACTTGTGATCTCTGTCTGTCAAATAAATAAATAAAATCTTTAAAAAAAAAAAAAGACTCTAATAAGTGCAAAATCATCTACAACGACAGGAAGGCGTGACTGCCCGGGCATCGAGGACAGGGATGAGAGGAAAGAACCACCAAGAGTGAGGAAGAGGCTTGTAAGGTGACGAACGTGATCATATCTTGATTGTGGAGATGGTTTTAGGGACGTATACATACATCAAACATTTCAAATTGTATCCTTTAAATACATGTAGTTTCCTGCGTGTAAGTTATGCTCCTCAGTAAGGCTTTTATAAATAACATTTTGTGGTTCCACTTTCATCACCTCCCAGTCCCTCCTCAGCCCCTTTGCACCTCTCTTGCTGTTCGCATGCACCTGGCAAACCTCACTCTCTAGCTGGTATCCACTACCCTTCCTCTGCCCGCCCCCTCCCCCGCCCCCCGGTTCTGCACATGCACCCATCCAGGACACAAACATGAAGGAGAGTTCACCACCTTGCAAACTGGCCTCATTTTGGATGGTGGCCCCTGACCCAGGCCCCTCACTGCTGCCCAGCAGCCCTACCACACTCCCAAGCTCATCTCTTTGCCATAGGCCCTAGGTGACTTACACATTTTCTCCCTTTCAAGCAAACCTCCATCACTGCCTACCCCATGCTCTATCCCAGAGCTTCTAGTCCAGAGAGGAAAGAAATGAAAGAGAACAGAACACCTGGAAGTCCCAGCACCACATCCACGCCACCTGCTCCTGTCTGTTCCTATCAACTCTGCCTGTGCTTCGCCTGGTCCGGAAGAACTCTCCCAGATCCTCCCTGGTTACCCCCTTCCGGAGCACCCAGCCTCTCACTGGCTCAAGGACTTCCTGCTTTAGGTTGTCTCTTGAGTATCTCCCTCCTGAGGATCACTCCCATTAGCACATGCACTCAGTTTTTTCTCCCAACTCAAAGGGCAACACTGCCACCATCATCTTCCCCACCCCTCCCCCCACCTCCCTGCAAGGTCATGTTTTCCATCAAGCCTGCTTCTCTGCTCCACCTTACAGCCAACCCCACGAAAGAGCTGTGCTGGCTCACATCCACAATTCTCCGTCCCCTGTTCTCTGTTGAACGCCCTTCGCTCAGCGTCCCCTTCTTTGGAAATTGTTCTCCAGATCACCACGACCTCCACTTCGCTAGACCCAGTAGCCAAATCCAGTCCTCATCTCCTCTGACTCATCTGGAACATTCGGCACAGCTTTTCTTCCCCCATCAAGCCTGATTGCCCTTGGCTCCCTCTCTCGGCCCATTCCACTCCTACCTCTCTAGTCACTGGGCTGCCTCCCCCTCAACTTCCCAATCTCGGAATCTCCAAGGTCCCAACACCCAGTCCTTGGGCCTCTGCCCTTCTCCATCTACATTCATTCGTTGGCTATCTCGCAGTGCGTGGCTTTAAATGGATCTCTATGCTGATGATGCCCAGTTACAGTTATCTAGCCAAGACTGCCTCACTGACTCCTTGCTTCTCCCGTAGCTCCGCCTGAATGTCTAAAATTAACATGTTCCAGGGGCGCCTGGGTGGCTCAGTGGGTTAAAGCCTCTGCCTTTGGCTCAGGTCATGATCTCAGGGTCCTGGGATCGAGTCCCGGCATCGGGCTTCCTGCTCAGCAGGGAGCCTCCTTCCTCCTCTCTCTCTGCCTGCCTCTCTGCCTACTTGTGATCTCTGTCTGTCAAATAAATAAATAAAATCTTTTTTAAAAATAATTAAAATTTTAAAAAATTAAATTAAATTAACATGTTCCAACCCAAACTCCTGATCTTCACCCCAAAACTTGCCTCTTCCCCATTCAGTAAAAGGCTTCCAAATGCACCAGCTAAAAACCTCAGGCCCATCGTTGGCTCCATACTTTCTTCATGCCTCATATCAAATCCATCAAGAGATAACGGTCAGTTCTACAAGAATCACCCCACTCCCCACCATCTTCCCTGCTTCCATTCTTGCCCAAGGCGCCATCCTCTGCACCACTCTTGCCTTCCTACGGTCTAAACTTGTCCAGCATTTCAAGTAAGCCCGTCACAATGACAGTCACACTCTGTCCTTGGCTCTTTGTTTCACCCAGCAAAGCAATGTCCCATTGCGCCTCCAAAGCCATACAAGGCTGTGCCTTACCTGTCTGTCTGGCCACATCCACTGGTGCAGTCGTTTGCTTTCCTGGTCTGCTTGACTGGCTCCCTTGCTCTCCCTTGAACACCCAGGACAACCCATGCCTCAGTATTTGCATTGCTCTTTTGTCTGCCTGGGACATTCGTTCCTCAATTTCAGCAGGATTGGCTCCCCAGGTCTACATGTACACTTTTTGCTCTTCCAAAATGACTTTGGGTATCACTGGAGTTTCAAGCTTGTCATTAAGCTGGGAGAAAGAGGAGCATTTGAAAAAATTTTGCCGATGGCCCTGGCTAGCCTGGCTACCACCTTACCAAGGTCCTAGTCACAGCAAGCTGAGCTGGGGTAAGCACTCAGCTATCAAGGAGGCAGGGCTTCAGGATCTACCTATGACATCTCCATGTAATGTCATAAAAGTATAAATTTTAAAAAAATGCCAGCACATGGAGAGAGATGAACTTCATACTGGGAGAAAGTGGTAGGATGGGCTTGGGATTGTTACTTTTCATTATTAGCTCTTCTGTATAGTTTAAATATATTTTAATACCATGTGATTTTTAAAAATGTAAATACCTAGGGCCACCTGGACAACTCGGCTGGTTAAGCATTTCAGCTCAGGTCATGATCTCAGGGTCCTGGGGTTGAGCCCTGTGTCCAGTTCTGCCCTGGGCATTGAGCCTGTTTAAGATTCTCTCTCCTTTCTCTCCCTCTGCCCTTCCCTCTACTCCTGCATGCTGTCTGTCTCTCTCTCCCCACCATAAATAAATAAATAAATAAATAAATAAATAAATCTTTTAAAATAAATCAATGTAAATGCCTACCTATGGTTCTAGATCAGACTGTAGCAGTCAGGGCTGTGGGGCAGACCCTGGGTCTAAGACATGCAGATTGAAGGAAAGAAGAAATCCCCCCAAAATGGCAGCAGCCAACAGCACAGACCCTGTTCACCAAGCCTTGTGTTCACCAAGCACTTTTCAGGTTAACATCTCTTTTACGCTCATTTCTTAGACTGAGTCTGAAGGGCTTCGCTGCCGATGTGATGAGACGATGCCCGTTAAGCTTTACAGAATACATCCTTCCTGTATAGCGAACAACAAACCAACATAAATGGCTCACATATTTGGGGGCAGCTAACATATAATGGAGAAAAGGAAAGATATGAGTCACATCTCATTAAAAAGAAGCATATACCAAATCCTTTGGGGATTTCTTTTTTAAATGTTTTCTATCCGGGGCGCCTGGGTGGCTCAGTGGGTTAAAGCCCCTGCTTTCGGCTCAGGTCATGATCCCAGGGTGCTGGGATGGAGCCCTGCGTCTGCGTCAGGCTCTCTGCTCAGCAGGGGGCCTGCTTCCTCCTCTCTCTCTGCCTGCCTCTCTGCCTACTTGTGATCTCTGTCTGTCAAATAAATAAACAAAATCTTTAAAAAAAATAAATTAAAAAAAATGTTTTCTATCCCATTCCCTCCGAAACCCCATGAGAATATAAACTATTTTTTGGTGAGAGTCAAGACTATAACTCTTTTTTTTTTTTAATTCCATTCTCTTCCTCCAGAGTGATTAAAATCAGTAAGCAGTCTAGCATAAGATAATAGAGTTGTTGCATCGCTCCCTTGTACACGAGACTGGTGTAACATAGTGTGTCAGCTGCTCTTCAATTTAAAAAAAATGGGGGAAAAGGATCAAAAGAGATAAATAAATACATGAATAAACTGTCTTTGTCTTTATACATTATCACCCATATAACTGAATAATCATCCCCTTGAATCAATTTTAGCAGAACTTCAAATACAAGACATGTAAAACAATGCCATTACAGTTTCACTAATTAAATCAGTAAATGTGCAAATAAAGTGCTCTTCCCTTAAGAAACGAACCCACAATCCTAGCCTGGATGGCAGAGAGCCTTCCCGGATGAGAAATTCCTCACTCAGAACCTTCCAGCTGCTCTTCTATTTCTCCCACTCAGTGACTCAGTTTCATCCAGGCAGGACGCTATTCTGTATTGTATCTTTGCTTATAATGCTTTTTTAAAAAAATATATTATTTATTTATTTGTCAAAGAGAGAGAGAGAGAGAGCACGCACAATCAGGGAGAGCGGCAGGCAGAGGGGGAAACAGGATCCCCACTGAGCAAGGAGCCCAATGTGGGACTTGATCCCCATACCCTGAGATCATGACCTGAGCCAAAGCCAGATGCTTAACCAACTGAGCCACCCAGGTATCCCTCTGCTTATCATTTTTAAGTTTTGATACATGCTTCATGAAATAAAAACAGTCTTACAAAATGAAGTACCATGAAGTCAGGTCACAGAGCAAGCTAGAGCCTGTTTTCATAAAATTAAATTAACCAGATAATTACTTTTTCTGATAAGGCATTTGTCAGGTTTTCAATATGTTAATTTCCCCTGCAGGAAACAGATCTTGAGAAACTAGAGGTTACCCTACAAATAGTGTTAAGAATCGGAGCATGAATCTCAGTACGGAAACAGAGACACCTGCCAAAAAGGGAAATTTATTCATTCATACGTTCATTTTTTGCAGGTCCTGGGAAGCCGATCAGCTTGCTCCTTGAACCCCCACATTCCTCCCTCCACTATCCCTACTTCACCCTCACCTGCCCAGCCAATTTGACAGCTGTTTTTCTTACCCTGAGCTAGAAAAACCTAACTTCCCTAAGAAGTTTTCTGTCTTAGGTCAAGCAAGATAAGACATGGCACCAGCCCAATTCAGGGTCAACCCGGTACACAGGAACCATGGGAAGCTGTCTACAACGTCATTTCGCAGCAGGATGAAGGAAAGAAGCCAAGAGGCAAAAACCACTCCAAAGCAGCTGGACCCTAGCTCTCTGCAGATGCCTCCTGCTTCCAGAACCCTCAGGGGGGTTACATCGGCTACAGACACTTTCCCCCAAAAGCCCCAGGGCTTGGGTCCCCCTTTAGCAGTTTGTCCTACCCTAGAGTAACCCAGATGCTAGGAGTACGGAGAAGGTCGGAGCAGAGCTGAGAGACACTTTGGGCTCACGGGGTCCAGGGACCTGTGTAACTCGTGCTAGTGTAGATCACTCAGACCCATTGCCGTAGGTGTTGCCCAGTCTGAGGTTCCGATTCTTAAATTCAAGATTCATCTCATATTCGATAACCTCAGGTTAGTGCAAGTGAAAAGAACGTCCCAACTATGTGTGATTGCAGCGTTGTGCCGGGAAAAGAGTTGGCCAAATCCTCCACTTACCAGCTGTGTCAACTCGGGTAAGACACTTGGGTCCCAACTTCTTCATCTTCAAGTTGGGGATAAGGATAACCACCTGGAACGGCTGTGATGCTTACAGTAACAGCTAAATTAATTATCAAACACGATCAGAATAGGTACTGGTTTGATCCAGATAGTTCATAAGAATGGAGAGCCAAGAACAGAGAGACATTCACACCTTACACATTTTGTTTTTAACTTAATGACTGGTGGTTCAGTCATTAAGAGTCTGCCTTCGGCTCATGACATGATCCCAGGGTCCTGGGATCGACCCCCACATAGGGCTCCCTGCTCTGCAGAAAACCTGCTTCTCCCTCTCCCATTCCCCATGCTTGTGTTCCCTCTATTACTGTGTCTCTCTCTGTGTCAAATAAATAAAAAATCTTCAAAAAAATTTAAAGCACAGAAAAATATCAACCTTTGCCAACTTGAGATAGGGTTAAGGACCTCCTCTGAATCTGGGTCTGCTGATCAGAATCCCATTCTGCCTTCCTTATATAAACCACACCCTCCGCACATCATGCAAGAGCTCCAGTTTTGGTTCCTTCATAGGGAATTAAAAAGTCAGAGATGCAAAGCCACCGGAATGTGCAACCTCTCCAACTGGTCCTACTTCCTTGGA